CTTCTCAAGCTTGCATCAGACACAAAACATGGGTTCAATCATCCCAGAACTAAGTTTGCTCTCCCGTGGCTTGGTCGCCTTCTCAAGCTTGTATCAGACACAAAACATGGGTTCAATCATCCCAGAATTAAGTTTGCTCTCCCGTGGCTTGGTCGCCTTCTCAAGCTTGTATCAGACACAAAACATGGGTTCAATCATCCCAGAACTAAGTTTGCTCTCCCGTGGCTTGGTTGCCTTCTCAAGCTTGTATCAGACACAAAACATGGGTTCAATCATCCCAGAACTAAGGTTGCTCTCCCGTTGCTTGGTCGCCTTCTCAAGCTTGTATCAGACACAAAACATGGGTTCAATCATCCCAGAATTAAGTTTAAAACGAATACCCTTTAGATGGATTATTTCAACATTTTCTCTTCAAACCCCCGTTCATATAGATGAATCCTCCAGACAGGGGACTTAGGTCCCCCGCGACCGGTGGCATTTTTTTTTAACTTCATATTGAGGGATTGGAATTTTCGGCCAACAGCAGAGTTGTTGGTTTTTTTTTTTTTGTCCATGGAAAGCGGGCAGCAAAAAGTTTACCCCGCACCACGCGGCACTAACCTTTGAGCTACGCCACTGCCTCCAGAAGTTTGGGGGTGTTTGCAGGCTTCAACTGATTTAAAACGCTGAGACAATGGCAGGGGCCAGGTTGGCAGGGGCCGGGTAGAACGTGCCGATTATACCATAGGAACAAATCATCAGGACATCAATGGAGAACAAAGATTTTTCACCCAGCTATAGACAATTTAGTGTTATCAAAATTTCTGCTGATCCCATCCCAAAAACTAGTTATCTATATACCAGTTAACTACCAGTTAATTATCTACAAGCTACCAGTTTCTGATCTAGTCCATATTTAAACATAAACACAATTTTAAAGAAAATAATTGAACAACGCAATAATAGCTGCAGTTTTATATATTTATTTGCTTTGTGCTTCAGCCTCTTGAAAAAACAACATCAACAGTGGCTTGAATAAACAGAATGGCTTTCATAAATGCATCAATAAAAATAAAAAAAAACAGAAATAATAATATGTAGATCTCTAATGGCTTAAAATAATAGTTATAATACTGCACTGGCCAATTAAAAGTTGAATAAATTCACCTCAATACCCCCCCCCCCAACTACTTTCTACTATACAATAATGACATTACCATTAAATTAAGTCTTTGAGAATATAATAATATTTTGTTGCTCTTCTTTACTTCATTGGACTCCTTTTTTTAAATATATATATATATTTTAAAAAATTGTCTTTAGACCACGTGACATATCGGCATGAAGCATCAAATCAAAATATGGGCAGTCCGTGACGCGCCTGTCCGAATTCTTCCGTGTGGACGCCTGACCAGCGATCTTTTAACTCAGGGTCTCCTTGTCGAACATGTACTCGCCCAGCCCAGGCCCGACACGTTTCAGGTTGGTGATGTGTCCACTGATCTCCTTGATGGACTTGACCTGCTCCTCCAGGTATTCGCACTCCAGGAAGTCGGCCATCTTTAATTAGGGAGGGGGGAAAAAAAATATGGTTCAGACACGCTGAGGTTTAAGCTCCGTGAAAAGCTAATGCTGTTTAGAGCAGTGGTTCTCAACCTTCCTAATGCCACGACCATTTAATACAGTTCCCCATGTTGTGGTGATCCCCCCCCCACCATAAAATTATTTTCGTTGCTACTTCATATAAATGTGTGTTTTTCGATATTCTTAGGTGACCCTTGTGTAAAGTTAGTTCGACCCCGAAAGGGGTCGCGACCCATAGGATGAGAGTCAGATATATTGAAGCTGGATGACAGTACAAGACAATAAAGTAGACGTTTCCGCTAAAAGCATTCCCTCCCCCGCAACAATACAAAAGCAGAGAAATCCAGAACACAAAAAAAAATATATAAAAAAATTAAGAGATATGCAAGAGACGGGCGGGTGCTAATGATATAGTATACGAAGAATTTGCAAAGTGTGGACATTTTATCATTGTCATTTGAACACACCATAAGTTGTTAACCAACATGTATAACTGAGAGGGTTGATAGAAGGTGGTCTTTCTTCAAAATTTTGGTGTGCATTTTTTTTTCGGGTCAAAATTTTTCAATTTTTTTTTAAAAAATCCATTTACATGAAATCGAAATATCTCAATTAACTGTTAAGGACATAAAAATACAACCATGGGAGTGATAGAGACTAATTGCGCAAATCTTGTGCATAGAATGGTCTGAACTTCATGGCTTACTCAGGTTAGCATTTGGTTTTATACCGAAGTCTCCACACAAAATACGCTGACATTATGGGACACAAAGGAAAGTCGAGCGAACAGACACAGTGCAAGCTTCAGCTTTGAATTTATCGACTAGAAGCATTTTATTGTCATTCAGATTCAACACGCAAATCATCCGACTCAAATTCATACATCAGTCATCAGTCAGACACTTACATTTCAATTAATCGTGTTTCGAACAGTTTTTGGCAGTATCCACATACCATAGTCAATGCACTACTCGTATTTCAACAAATACGTGAAATGAAATTTAAAAATCGATTCCAGCTATATCATTAGATGACAGTGATCGATTTCATAAAGGATACAATTTGATTAGAATCGGTATCGATACCTTGAAAGCGAACCACGAGAAAACCTTTAATTATTGAGAGACCCCACAAAAAAATTACGTGACAGTAGTATCGTAGCGTGAGGTAATCGAAGAGTCTGACCTGAGCATCCTCGTGGCTGGTGCAGAGCTTGTGCAGGTCCAGCAGGGACTGGTTGACGCTCTTCTCCAGCTGCAGGGCGACCTGCATGGCGTCCAGACCAGTGCCCCACTCGTCGCGCTCGGGTTTCTGTGGGAATAAGAAAGCGGTGATTAATAGTTCATGTGCCAGTGGCGTAGCTAGGGTTCGGGGCCCCGGGGCTTGGCCTCTTTAGGGGCCCCTGCATTTTGACATTCGACATTAATGTAAAAAAAAATAATTCGGACACTCCTTTGGGGGTCCCCCTCAAGTAGGGGCTCGGGGGACGTTCGAATTTGGACCCCCCTCCCCCTCTCCTAGCTACGCCGCTGTCATGTACATTTTAAAAAAAATATCTGACATGAAAGGTCCGATGCATAAGCAAAAAACCCAACGCAGACACTTCTATTCAGACCGTGTATCAATATTTTAAAGGCACGGCAAGTAGTGGGTTCAATTTCGGTTTTAAGAAAGTAATAAAAAAAAATTAAAAATTAAGACATCTGGTTTTTTCGATTTTCTATCAGGGGTGTTGAGTCCATACATTTTTCAATTTGGTTTCCGTAAGGTGATATGTTGCATTTGGTAAAAAAAAAAAAATTTTTGTAAAAGTGTGTGTGAAAAAGAGGAGGTGGGTTGTTCACCTTGTATTTTAAACTGGGCACATGCCTAGGGTTTTAATGGGGGGTACAAAAGTCTATTTCAATGAAATGTTAATAGTTTAAATTTGGTGTTCGTGGCTTAATTTTAGTGAACTGAGAATATTGTCAATTGGAATTTTTAAAAAAATCAAAGTTTCAGCTTTTATTAAAATGTAACGAAAACTTAATCGGGAAGACTGGTCAAATGTCCAAAGATCATTTTATTTACTGGAGTTTTTAAATGAGTTTTAAAAAAAAAATTTTTACCTTGACGTCCTGCAGGACGATGCGTCCCCCTCTCTTGATCTGATAGGACATTAGCTTCTCTGCGTGCTCCCTCTCTTCGTGTGAGAGGTTCTTGAAATACTTTGAGAATCCAGGCAGGGCGACGTCATCACGGTCGAAGAAGAAGCCCTGTTGTAACATTTAAAACAGCAACGTGGCTTGAAATGGGTTAATTACCTTCTACAGGGGCGTTAGCTGAAACTAGGCCGGTGCTTAGCTGGCATGTTATAGGGCAAGGTGGTCTAGGTTGCTGGCTTGTTATAGGGCAAGGTGGTTTAGGTTGCTGGCTTGTTATAGGGCAAGGTGGTTTAGGTTGCTGGCTTGTTATAGGGCAAGGTGGTTTAGGTTGCTGGCTTG